TTTTCCTCTGTTTATAAGGGCTTCAGGTGTAGGGGTGTCAAGTGAGGATCTAGTGATGGGTCAGCTGGGAGTCATTAGTAGGTCTTGTGATAAGGAGATAAGGTAAATTGCTGGTGGTGGTGGTGGGGTTGAATGGGTTGGTTGAGGTTCGGTGCTGTCTCTGGTTGACTGAGCAATTGATTTGGATTCTGAGGAGTTTGTAGGCTGGTTGTAGGTCAATGTGTCTGTTGATGGAATTGCTTGTGGAGGTTTCGATGAACTCACAAGCATGGCAGGTGATAGCATGGCCAATTTTTGTCTTGCTCCAATCGAATTGATGATGATGTGGGTAGAGATTAAACTTCACTGAAGATGTTACCTAGCCTGGTAACGAAATGTTTGGAAACCAACCCACAAGCTCAGAAAATGAACCTTCACCCATATCCAACATCCGAGCTACAGATATTCACCACCATCTTTATTTTCTCTCATCTGCCCATTTCCTGTGTCAATATCTCTATTCCTAAACCATGAGCATCATTTCAAATGTCAGTTTACAGTCAAAACCCCAAGAATGGACTTGTTAGATAACAGCTTTCACATTGCCTTGTTTTACCAGGCTATACAAAGAGCACAGTAAAGATTCTGCCTTTCAACTGCCCCACATCAAACTGAACAAGTACTGAGGTCAGCATGCAACAGCAGCCTTCAACCCAGCAAACAAGTCCACATACTTGAAAATTATCTAACCACTTTGGCTATTCTGCTGTTACACATAATCAGGTGGTTCTACTGTAATCGTTCTACCCAGAATTAACATTGTAACATTGCAAAAGAACTATAAGTGGAAGTACAAATTTTATGCATTTCCAGCTTTCACATACTGCAGACTATTGTCTTGCATTTGGTCCATGCAATGTCACACAAATTCTATTCAATATTTTTTTGTGTAAGGACAACATAACCAAGTTTCACTGTAAAAATAAAGGCCTGCTTGTGTAATATTGGAGAAGATCGGCTCTAGTATTACAACAAATTACAGGCTGTGGTAGCATAAACCATAATTAAAAAGTCCAAGTAGGCCATTCTACTAAATCTCAAAATAATGCAGCATTCTTACTTATTTCCAATATATATATATAAAACCCAGTAGCCTTATTATGCTAATAATAGTGGTAGGTTATTACACGTCTCTTTTCAACTAATTTGGAGTGTAATGGCAAAAGCTTCTGTTAGACACTTGCACCAGCCAAGCAGAGTGTGATACAGTGAAAAAGTTCACACCTACTTGATGATAGCTTCATGGGAGCGATAGTTCTCACATAGCAAGATCCTGCAAGGAAATTCTGCAGGGCAATGTTCATAAAGACGATCAAGTAATGAAACATGAAGATTTCTCTCTCTGGCAAATTCACTGTACACAAAAGGACTAAGCTGTAACCAAGAAAAAAAAATCAAAAGAAAGCTATTATTTTATAACTGTGTATTTGTGCAGAACATTATCTCAACATAGAAACTAATGACCAACCTGCAAAAATTGGTATTAAATTTATCTACAGCAAGGAAGAAAAAGAATAACATTATATTAAGTAATCTCCATTTAATTGTTTGAATTTCATTTCCTTTCAATTTATTGGCAACAAACAAATGGAGATATTCGTTTGAAATTCTAGGTTTCCTAAGTAGGCTGATTTTTTTTCTATTTCAGAAAGGTGAAAAGGAGAAACACTCCATGATGAACCCTAAAGAGAGTTTCAAGAGAGGAAGGGCACATCTAAACTTTCTGGATTGCCTTTACTGCTATATGCATACATAAGGAAACCAATTTACATGAGATTCACCTTAGAGTTCTATTTTCATATATATATTTAACTATATACATTATATGCACTATAACACACATACACACCCNTGATCTAGCAGTAGCCTGCAGTGCTGCATTTAACCACTGCGCCACCTTGGCTCTAGCATAATTAACAGCATAGCTACTTTACTGTAGAAAATATATAACTACAACCACCGCTAAAGGACAACTGTTAGAATATCACTGTCAATATCCTGTTTTAAAGAGTCAGTGTCTGTTGCACTGCCAACAGCAAACTTGTCCTCCCACTTTTGTAAGAGGAATAAATACTTTGCAAGAAAGAAGGAAAAGTCCTATGGAACTTGGAAAAATGGAAACTAATAATGGTAGATTCACAGTAGAAGTCAGTATCTCAGTTTACTGTACCTTTAAACTGTGATACTACTATGAATCTATCAGTACTGTAAATAACATTGGAGAAAGAATCTGCCCCAAGAAATGTAAGCATGTGTCCCACAAGATCAAGACTACCTTCTGAGGGTTATTTATCTGACTAAGAGGCAGCTAACTAAAGCTCTGGCTTCTTAACCCAGACAATACTGCTAACCACAAAACCATTGGAATAGGCAAACACAAGATGCAGGAGATAACTTGTACTAATTTCGAGATGAAATTAACCTTGCCATGATGGCAAGGCTCCCAAATATACAATCTAGAATGGAAGGGTGTTCAGAGGAGCAAAGTGCAATACAGCAATATAGTGGGGGGGGGGGGAATATACAATGGAAAAAGAAAAAAGAAAAATATAGTGAGACATATATTGATCCAAGGCAGGGATGAGCAGTTATGTCCCCTTTACAGTGTAGAGTTGGACTTCAACTTCAAGAATTCCTGAGCCAGCCTGGCGGGTTCAGGAATTCTGGGAATTGAAGTCCACAGGCTGTAAAAAAGATTGTTGCCCACCACTGATCCCAGGTAACAACTAACTGGCTAACTTGTTTAGGTCAAAACACTATTTCACTCTGGCCAGTTACAGTTTCACCCGAAGCCGTTACAGTTCTCTCTCCCAATGTTCAGTAGAAGGCATAGCCACTGTGGCCTGCCTACTTAGTAGCCCATAGGTACTCCTAGGACATCTTGCACTCTTTCTCCAAAGATCCACTGTTTCTTATTCACCATCTACTAGGTTTACTATACAGCTGTAATAGGAAGACAAGAGAAAACCAAAAGATGGTGATTTTTCCCAATGCCTCTTTTTCAATATGCTGTCGAGCACCAAGTTTTAAAACTCACTGATGCTTAAGAACATTACTTCCTCAGGGGAAAGGTCTACGCCATTTTCCAGCAGTCTGAACACATTAATCGGTCTGTTTAGAAAGCCTGAATAAATATTGACCTATGAATAACACGGATGAAGAAGAATGACAAACTGGTTCACTAGTTATTCTATAAAGATAAGAGTCTCTGCATTGCAAACAAAAATTATATTTTAAAATGCTGGGGGCTATTTCAGCTTCTTCGTATATTTAGGGTTAGATAAATGTTTTCTTAATCTTTCTACAAGAGCTATCACTATTGATTACAATAATTCACACGCAGATACATGCACACTCCCCAATAGAATATGGCACTTTAAAGGAGTTGTAGCTATTGTTTTTATCTCCAACCCCACCAAACCAAGTTCTTGACACTCATTTAATTTGCTAGTAAGAACTAAGTAGTTTTATATATACAAATTCCCAGCTTTCCATCCAAATGAACATATGAGGTAGTTTACATCATAAAGCAATAAAATTCATAAAATACAACTGGTAAAAAAAACAATCACAATAACAATATCACTTTACTGATATTCCTCAGGTTTGCTTGTTATGATGGCTCTGCATAAGAGCATTTTCCGAACACAGTGGAACCTCAGGTCACGACCGTAATTAATCAGCACCTGATTTGGTTGTGACTGGAAGCAAGACTGACTATACATGCGCGCACACACACAAAAATGATGTGGAAGTGGAAATCATTGCAGCAGGGAAAATTGGATTTTTTGGTCGGCACCCGATTTGGTTGTAGTCAGAAGCGTTCGTGACCCAAGGTTCCACTGTAGTCTGTGAAGTTGTGGTTGTCACAGCATCCGTGTGGTGACATGACTGCAATCTGAGCGCTCAGATGCTTGGTTCACAATTAGAACACCCCAATGAGCCATGGTCATATGATCTCCAATTGCAACCTTCCCAGCCTGCTTCCCATTAGCAGAGTTAATAGGGAAACTGGCAGGGAAGATCACAAGTCAACAGTTATGATCATAAGTTGCTCCTGCTGTTTTGCTCCCAAAGATCCCCACATTGGAGTATGAGATCCCAGAGATTTTGTGCTCAATAGCATCCAACTGCGGCCCATGCTGGCTTACACATGCTCCACAGCATTCATTCACAGCCCCTGCAGGCTCATTCACCCACTGTAGTGCCAGCTTTCAGCACTCACCTACCTGCCTAGGTATCTCACCTGCTGGCCTCTTCCTACACTCACTCTCAATATGACTGTATAATTTTAAGGGGAGAAAAAAGAAAGACAATTTATAGATATTGTGCTTTCCCAGACATTCTAGGAGTTTCTTGCATGAATATCATGATCTCTTTTGAACACATATTGTCCTCCTGGACCCAAAAAATTACTGCTTACGAAAAGCTCTATCTTAGTATATGTAAAACTGTGTTATCTTTTCAGCCTAGTATTTTTCCATTCTATATTCTTAGGAAGGAAGCCCAACAGCTAATATGCTTTTCTGATATTTCTTAGCAAATTCTTGCAACCTTTTAATCATTTTCTCAGAAGTTACCTTTGGTGGCGATTGCTGTGGTTTATTGGTGTTTGATGAATGCTGCTGTCGCAGAGCCCGTGGAATAAACTCGGGAGCCAGCGGATTCAATACATAGGTTTTCTTTAATTCCAGAGCTTCCAATTGAGCCTTGATCTGATCAAATGTGATACCGTGAAGACTTTCATTATCATGACACAGGGCAATAAATCTTTCCCAAAATTTCCTAAAAGTCAATACAAGAACAACACAAAAAAGGTTGTTTTTCTAGATTAAAAAACTATATATAAAGTAAATCTTGAATTCAATCCCTTTGTTTTCAATATTATTTAATTATGAGACAACATCATTTGAAACCTTCTAAAACTACTTAGCATTAACATTTGAGCAATAGCAAGATTTATTAGCCAAGTTCTCTACTTCACATACAAACATCTGTCTTAGTATTAGAATGTCTGCAAAGTGCCTTTTTTGTTTTTAAAATATTCAGGTGGATTGTTCACATAGGACACATTTACAATGTGGCTGCAAGAAAAATGAATCAAATCCTGCCAGCTCTGATACATATCACGCTGTTGAATTTAAAATAAAAAAATGCCACCGCTCTGTCTGATATAGCTGTGATTTTACAAATATGTATTGTAGCCATATTTCAAAAGGTCTTGATAGTTATTGCAATAGATTCTCAGTTTAACAAACTTCAAATTACATTTACATTTTAGAATTTTGCATTATCAACGAAAATGTTGCATATTTCTGTAGACTTGATTAACTGTTTTAAAGTCAGACAATGCCAATAGTTCTCAAAATGTTGGAAGAACAAAGAGTTTTACAATCAAGCTGTTGTTTAGAAGAGCTGTGAAAACCTGGATCTTTAACCAGCAGGCCTCTGGGGAGAGGCAGTGAGCCCTCTTGCTTCATTGAGCATGCTGTCTTTATCTTTTATTGATTTTATTGTCATATCATTCTACTTCTATTAGCAGGTCTTTGTATTGTGTGATTTTCTCCAGTTCTTTGTCTTCTCTTCTCTCCTCTTCTCTCCTCTCCTCTTCTCTTCGGCTCTCTGCAGGTATTGCAATTTTTGTTTGTTTTTCTTATCAACAATTAAGTCTGGAGTGTTTTGTGGCAGATATTATTTCTGCTTAGACAAGAAGTAGGAAGGATGAAGCTGGCAAGGTTGAAAATGAAGTATTCAACGTCAGCCAAGAACATTATATATATATTTTAAAAAAACTGTGCAGATGCCCTCAACCTCTCATCCAAAAAGGATGAGAACCAGTCAACAAAAAGGCCACTATTATGTATAGATGGGAGAAAGAAATGTGGGGGTTAGACCATGAAGTTGCCATACAACTATTAAATCCCTACTTTCTATATTATTTTCATCATAAGACCTTTCTTTCACATTTGCAGTAAAAGCAACTTATTTTCCTAAGTCTTGTCCTTCAAACTTCCTATTGCCGAGCTCATACCTATGCATTTGAATTCCTAGAGAGACAGATGTATTGCTTTACCTAACATGAAACCTGGACAAGAAGCATATCTCTAAACTCTACAACTACTGGTTGGAGCTTAGCTTTAACTATACCCGGATTACTCACAGAACACACCCCAAACTGTTAGCAAAGTCTGTGCTTGCATTCTACGGCAGCAATTTATGATTGTCCTGCACATCTGCTTGCTGAGGGACATACCACAAGTACTTTTCCAATGGCTAAAAAAAGCATAACACGACAGCAAAATTAACAAAGTTCTTGCAATAAATTTCAAGCAGATGGTCGTCACATCCAGATCAAAATCACCAAAGCGCATATACTTCTTCTGAACAGCCTTAATATTAAAATAAATAACATCCCCAGAATTCAAAAGGGATTTAAAATAAAATGGGACCAGCAAGATTCTCCATAGATATAATCTTCCCACATAATTTTACTTTCAGCTCTAGCATGTTAAACATGAGACATGCTGTGCAAAAATGTCCATGTTTACATAAAAATAACTAGCTAGTTCAGCTAGTTCAGAACGCGGCCGCGCGAGTGATCATGGGCGCACCACGGTTCGCCCATATAACACC